AGGGAGAAAGTGTTTGAAGCACGACCCAAATGTTTTTAAGATTCTTTTCCCTACTTGTGTTGAGTGTCACCTCACCAAGAGTCCAAGCACAAAAGAAAAGAAGTGCAGGGCCTTGATGAGCAGGCAAGATGAAATTAAAAGAATTCTGGAATGTACCCCAGAATATCTGTCATCAGGGTGAAGGCCAGGGTCCAAAGGACAATGACCAACACAAACTAAGTCAGAAGTTCTGGGTTCTCCACTGGAGTCACACTTAGACAGACATATCAACAGCTTTACCAACTAAGATTACCCTAAAATCTCTTCCTCCGCTGAAATAACTAGAATTGATTCTCATCCTTTAGACAATTAAATTACCTAAAGGGGGGGGGACCTCTTTGTCCCTTCCTCATAATCGTAAGTGCTATTATAGAAAGTTATTTTCTCATGATGATTTTCCAAATTCCCATAAGCCACATACACATCTGTTCCTAGACAAAGCAGAAGAAAGCTATATCTGGTGCAAAATTACTATCTCACAACAATAGAAAAGATTAGTGTGGATCTCTCTATTTCGTCATTAATATGCACTGTACATCCTCAATAAAATCATCTGACATTTACATCTTAGTAACCTCTTGCTGCAGCTCTTAAAATTTTCTTACTTCATTAGCTCAGTACATTAAAAGACACTCCTCGATTAAACTAAACTCAATAAATCCACAGATATTCTGGTAATGAATTAGTATCACAAAACATGAAAGAGCACAATCATTTCTAGCGACAAATGACACTTTACAAAGCTTATCACAAAAAGACTATTACACAGAAGGCAGGGATGGTGCACCAGTGGGTAAAGTGCTTCCTATAGAAGGACCTGAGCTCAGATGCTTGGCATCCACGCAAACTCCAGCTGTGACGGCATGCTATCTGTACCCACAATGCAGAGAGGCAGGATCCTGGTGGCTTGCCGCCTAGCCTGTGTAGCTGAAATGGTGAAACCCAGATTTAGCGAAAAATCCTGCCTCAAAAAATAAGCTGGAAAGTGATCAAGGGAGACAGCCAGTACTTGTCCTCCACATGCACATACATACATATGTACATACATGTACACACATACACACACACACATTCGTGAACCACGTCAACATACTCGAGTGCAACTACCATTTAATATTTATTTGCCACTTCAACTACTCAATTATGCTGAAGATTCTGCTTTGGCTGGACTACACTATGGAATTCGAGTGCTGCGCTACTTCAGAAGTTGAAATGAAAAACAACTGGCATTTGTTCTTTTTAAAAACAAGGCTTTATATTCAGACACAAATGCAAGCTTCAGCAACTAGCCGTTTTGACTGGCTGTCAAAACAATGTCAACCCATTGATGTTCTTGTTCAATATGCTTTCTACAAGCTAAGTAGACATCACACTACCTCACCTCTGAGATATTTCAGGGATAAATCCCTCAAAGAAATCCAGAAAAACACAAACAAACAATAGGAGGAAATGAATAAATCCCTCAAAGAAAGCCAGGAGAACACAAACAAACAAATGGAGAAAATAAATATATCTCTTAAAGAAAGCCAAGAGAAGCAAACAGTTGAGGAAACAAATGAAACTGTTCAAGACTTGAAATGAAAATAGAAGCAATAAAGAAAACACAAACTGGGGGAAGTCTGGGGATAGAAATCTTAGGGATGAGAACAGGAGCTGCAGAGGCAAGCTTTCCCAACAGAATACAAGAGATGGAAGAGAGAACTGCAGGCACTGAAAATAAAATAGGAGAACAACAGTCAACGAAACTGCTAAAACTAAGACTCCTGACACAAAACAACCAGGGCGGACGTATGGACAGACGGACGGACGGACAGACAGACAAAGCGATTCCTACTGATATTCTGCTATACTCATAGTGCAGTGCCTTGTCCAGTAATCATCAGAAAGATTTCCTCTGGCAGCAAATGGGAGCAGTTGCCAGACATGTGGAGAGAGTGTTCAAACAGAAGGTCCTTCCCCTTGGAGTCAGAGAAGCCCTCAGAAGAGAGGAAGGAGATGGAAAACACCAGGAGAACATGGCACACCAAATCAACTAAGCAGGGCACACATGGGCACGTGGAGACTGAAGCGGCAAACACAAAGCCTGCCAGAGTCTGCACCAGGTCCTCTGAGCATATTATGGCTGTTAACTTGGTTTGGTTTGGTTTGGTTTCTGTGGGAGATGTCTAACAGTAGGTGCAGGTCTATCTCTCACTCTTTTGCCTGCTCTTGGGCCTCTTTTCCTCCTATTGGGTTGCCTTATCTCGCCTTGTCTCGCTGGATCTTGTTTTGTTCTGTTTTGCTATTCTCTCTTGGAGGCCTGCTCTTTTCTGAAGAGGAAACGGGAGAGGGAGTGGATCTGGAAGAGAGGGAAGGTGAGGGAGAGTTGGGAGAAGTGGAGGTAGGAAAAACTGTGGTCAATATGTATTATATGAGAAAAGAATCTACTTTCAATTAAAATAAAAAAAAATTAAAAACCAAAAACTATTATAAACTTTGGGTTTTTACATCAATTAATAAATTCACTTTTCTTGATCAAATATAAAATTTCTCTTGGTAATCAAGTCTATAATGTCCTAATTTCACAAATTGTAGAATTCTCTCAATTAGAAAAAAAAATATGAGAAAGGGAATATTGCATAGTCTACCCACTTTACTACGGGATTTTTAATGAGCAAATTGATGAAAACAACACTATTGCATCAGTTTAAATAATGAAGAAAACAGGCATTACTTAAGCTGTCTGGCCTCCAGAGTTCCCAGCTTAGTCCAGGAAGAGGAAGGCCAATTCTATAGAATCTCTCCCAAGCCTAAACCACTGAAACATATGTCTCATAGCTTGTATTGTTATTTAGATAATTTTATGTGTGTTGCAATCACAGTAACAGAATAACAAGGCAAATTAACATGACAAAGTGCAGAAATGTCAAAATGAGACCTGTTAGTATGATGGTAGCAACCTTTTCTAAGACTCAAAAATTAACATACAGTTGCGACTTTAAGAATTAGCACTTGGGAATGAACACCTAAGTCATCCTGTTTGTTTCCTAGGGAACCATGATCACCCTGTCGGTACAAAACAAGTGTGGGGTTGTTTTGTTTTCAAGCTTCCCAAGGTTTCTAGTACACTGAAGTTCTCCTCAAGCGTTCCCACTGGCAGAGCCTCAACAGACTGCCTGAGAAAGGAGTGAGCTCTGCTCACACCTGGGTCGTGGGGGTCAGTTTTCATGCTGTCCTTAAAGACATAGACATTCAGAGTGCCTGAAGTCATTGCCACACTTCTTGGTTAACACTTGTTGTGGATAGCCCCGGCCTTGTATTTTGATACTAATTCCCCTTTCCTGTGAAGGGCTGCAGAGCAGGTGTGAGTCATTACACAGGTGAATTCTAGTGAACCTTCTGCCCATCTTAATTTGTAAAATAAAGGCTGGAGCCAGTGACTGGGCAGAGGAAGGGTAGGTGGAGAAATGAAGGTTGGTGGAAGAGAGCAGAGGGGAGGACTAGAGGAAGACAATGGAGGAGGAAGACGAAGGAGAGGACGACCGGGAAGCAGGAGGTAGAAGGACAGACACAGGGTCTGGAAAATCCTCAAGTTCTAAGGGTCTCATAGCTGGGGAACAGAGTAGTGTAGGGGTATCTGCCCAATCTAAGCTTACAGACTATATTCATAATTACTAAGTTGTGTTTTCATTGACCGGTCATATTTGGGTTGGAGATTTAAATATCTCCCACTACAAACTCTCACACTGTTCTTCATGGCACATGTTTGCAAACTGTGCTGCAACAAAAGCAGAAGCCTTTTCCCTGTATTTTCATGAGATAGGAATCAGCTCCGTATGGGGTTGCTTGCAATATAAGACCCCTCGGGTCACCCACTCCTAAGGAATAACCCAGACTTTTGTATGTGTCAGAAATCACATACATAACCACCCTAATGAGCAAACAATGTTTAACCAATTTTTAATTACAACAAAAGATAATACTATAAGCTAAATAATCTAATAGATAGATCAGTACATGTATTTTTCTAGACCCATGGAAAATAGGCCTATAAAATTATTCAATTTTATGTTATCACAGCTAGAAATCAATTTTTTAATTCAATATTTTATTTACATTTTAGATGTTATCCCCTTTCCCCATTCCCCCCTCTCATTAACCCGTTTTCCTTCACCTCCTCCTCCTTTTTTGCTTTTATACCATTTAAATTACATACAAGTATTAAGGTCAGTTCTAGGTTGAGGAACTAAAAAATATGGAACACTTCACGAATTTGCGTGTCATCCTTGCTCAGGGGCCATGCTAATCTTCTCTGTATCGTTCCAATTTTAGTATATGTGCTGCCGAAGCAAGCACAGAAATCAGTTTTATTTAGAACATTTCCACATAAAACCATTTTTAATAACCAGTTTTTACCATTTTTATGATTGTATTTCCTATACGTAAGACTTTATATTTGGTAGCCTTAAAAATATGTAATAACAAGAACAGTGAAAATACTACAGATTTATTCAAAAGCTACTTCTTCATATACCAATGGCAGTAGAACTATGGGGCAACGAACCATTGTTTTGGGGAGTTCGTAAATGCTCTAAGGAAGGTCTGAAAAAAATATGATTGCAAAATAAAATTTTTCATTTAATATAAATGTTTCTACTGAAATATTCTCATACGTGTATATACTTAGAGTAAACAATGGATACTTAATATTTTATCTTTACATTATTCTTCACAGCAACTGTGACCTTACTGTGAGTATGGGGCCACGGCACAAGATCCAATGGATTCCACACAGTTGGACAATGGCATGGTTTCTGAACTGCAACTCTACATGACACAGCAAGCACATACGGTGCCTGGATGCGACTCTACATGACACAGCAAGCACACACGGTGCCTGGATGCGACTCTACACGACACAGCAAGCACACACGGTGCCTGGAACGTGGACAGTAGGCCCTCCTCATATCTTCTGTACTTACTTGGTGATAATTCTGGACTTCCTCTCAGGTTCATCATCTTTGGGATGGAAGGACCATACACATCCACATCTAACAGGCCAACCGCCTTGGACTGCAAGAAAGCCAAATTCATCAGAAGATTATTCATCAGGTTCCCCAGACAAAAAAGATTACACAGTAATAAGCCTGTTAAAAAGAAAATGTAAAATACTGCAAAATCATTACCTAAGCAATAGGAAGTATAAATTGCCAGGGATAGTTTTAAAATCAGATTTAGATAACTGACTCATTCGGGTCTCCTGTATAGTCTCAAGAAGACTGAGACATTTTGATCTAAGCATAATTTCTGAGAACTAACAAGTAAGATGCAAACAAGATTGGAATGATTAATAAATGCCCAACAGAAGCCCAAGACGATGGAACACGGACTTCTGGAAGGCCCTAAGTTACAAAATGAAAAAAAAATGGAAACAAGACTCTTCTCTAGAAAGCTAGGAATTCTGTTGTGCATCTGGCAAGAGGGAGACGGAAGGGGAAGCAACAAAGCTTCCCGCACATGTGACAGAGGCCACCCTTGCATACAAACCACAGCAGGCTTTTTGGAGGAACCAAAAACAGCTAACCAGTGTTCTGTGATGGCTGTCCAGCTGAGAAGGGCGGATCCTTATGGGTCTCTGCCAGGTACTAGCTAATCAGCAACTTAGTCAAGGAATGAAAAACAAAATTTGCTGCTCATAAATACTTTCCTTCTATCTCCAAATCTATCTCTGTTGGGTTTTCTCATCTATGAGTAGGCAATACTGCCTGTACCTCACTACATCTGCCTGTACCTCACGACATCTGCCTGTACCTCAGTACATCTGCCTGTACCTCACGACATCTGCCTGTACTTCAGTACATCTGCCTGTACCTCAGTACATCTGCCTGTACCTCACGACATCTGCCTGGAACTCACTACATCTGCCTGTACCTCAGTACATCTGCCTGTACCTCACGACATCTGCCTGTACCTCACTACATCTGCCTGTACCTCACTACATCTGCCTGTACCTCAGTACATCTGCCTGTACCTCACTACATCTGCCTGTACCTCATGACATCTGCCTGTACCTCACGACATCTGCATGTACCTTAGGACATCAGCCAATACCTCACTATGCCTTACATCTCTCTGCCCACTATCCCCTAATCCTAGCAAGATAACACTCATAATCTCTCAATAAGCAGAGATTTAAGAAACTGAAACAACCCTAAGTCTTTCATGATACCTGTCTCCAGACACACAATTACTTTTCAACCCTTATCATCTGTTTCTGTAAGTATGCATAACAAGGTAAATTTAACATTTAAGTTACTAATCTTATACTGATTCAATCTGCAATTCTAAGAAAAGTACTTATTATTCTATGTGATTTCGTCTTGTGGGTGTGAGGAGAGGAGACTGATGTCTGTCTGAAATCCCAGACTAATTTAAAATAAATAAGAAAGCAAAAAGGATATTTTGCTTTTAATAGGATGGTTACATATAAAGATTAGTTTTAATGAATTGAGGTAGCAGCTATAAAAAGGGGAATATTCCTGAGGAAATCTGTACATTTAACAAACAGGAAAACTTACACTTTAATTTACTGTGAATAAAAATATTTCAAGCAGGACTGTTGACAAAAAAAGCTAAGCTTCCTCTGATACTATTTCACTGTAGGATTGTTTCTGTGACAACTTCAAGGGCTAAAAAGACTAGTATAAAATAATAAACCTCAATTTTAAAATGTAAGGTTATTTTTCCTTTTCTTATCTATATTTATGGTAGCTTTACAGTAACTTGAGTGAGTGAGGTGCTAAGTTTCAATCAAAATGATCTAAAGTAAAATAACTCTGCCTTTTAAATTAATGTCCTAGCAAAACAAACCATAACTATAAACTGAGGGCATGGTTCCTCTAAGGTACGGAGGAGCGAAAGGTTCTCATTGTTGATATGAGGAGAGGCGCACCTTAGGCTTCTGGAAAAGTCCAGGGCAGACAGAGAAAGGAGTAGACTGAGCATGGCCAGCAGAGTGAGCTTGCCCATGAACGGAAAGGAGAGGGGGTAGGGAGAGCAGGAGAAGAGGAGAAAGATATGACCAAGAGAAGGGCAAGGGAGCAAAGCCAAACTGCAGGGTTGTAAGGGCGGTGGGGGCGGGGAGCCCATGAGCAGAAATGTCTAGAGAGAGGGACTGTATGAAAAGAGCCAGGATGCCAGCAAGGTCGGGGACATGTACAACAGGCACTTGTGATGCTGAGGGAACTTAGCTATGTTACTAAGAACCACAGAGAGCCATTTATCCCTTCTGCCAGTGGTAAGAGAAATAGCTGCTTCAGTAGAGGGGAAAAGGGAATGCTGGCTTTTGTCTAACTGCCAGAATGTAGATTTGATAATAACCATGTGTCATGTCCCTAACTGCACACCAATTTCTTCATCAAGAGGTTTTCAAGTTTTCTTCAAAATGTGGGAATGCATCTTCTACTCTGTCTTCTAGAAGAAAACCAGACCTTCCTCATGAACCACAGTCCAATAAGCAAATTGAGACTTGCCTTCACATTTGCTGTGGTAAGAATAGACTCTACGTACATGACTATAATGGCTAACATATATGGCTGCCACACACACGAAAATAAAAGGGACACCATAATTACAAGGTTTAGAACTTACACCCCTCACTTGCTGTCTGTCATAATACCACTCTGGTACTGTCCACACTATGGTAAGAAAGGAGAGGGACTGACACTTGCAGTGACTGTGTTTGCTCTTTAGTTGTTTTATGTTTTCTTTCTTATGATAAAGCAGAATTAAAAACAACAAGCCCAACCACATCAATCTCCACAAGAATTTTAGCACAATTTTAATTACAAAAAGCTTAAACAGTGAACACATTTTTCAGCAAGTTGCATTTATGCATATTTGTACATATACATACACACACATGTGTGTGTGTGTGCATCAATAATAATCACAGAACAATATTATCCATTTGGGAAAAGAGACATGGGAGGGTTTTGAGAGACAGAAGCTGAGAAGGGCCGGAGGGAGAAAAGAGGACAGAAAGTAATGCAATTCTATTTCAATTCAAAATGTATTTTTAAAATTTTTAAAAGAATGATATTGATTAATTTTTATTTATTTATCTTATTTCTTGAGATTGGAATATCTTTTCTCAAAAAGTTAGCACATAAATATTTTATTCCTTGTGGATCATATGATCTCAAGCGCAGCTACTCGGTATTACTACCGGGGCATCAACCACTGCCTGGACAACATGGAAGACTCAGCAGAGCTGTGTTCCAGTACAACTTTACACACGCACACACAAATGCATGCACACATATGCACAAACACATGCACGCATGTATGTACGTGTCAAAGGTTTGACTCACAGATTATAGGTTTCCAACATCCAATCTAGAGAATAAAGTTTTCATAACCAAATTAATCAACCAAGTCCCAACATACTCTTAGTAGGGTCAAGAGTAAGCAGCTCTTATTTTTCTTCTTTTTTTTGAGATTTTAATATATTACATAATTTCTCTCTTCCCTTTGCTCCCTACAAATGCCCCCACACAGCCCTCCTTTCTCTTTCAAATCCATGGCCTCTTTTCTCACTAACTGCTACTGCATGCATCCATGTATTTGCATATACACATATATTTCCAAAATATAACCTGTTGAGTCTGTATTACGTTACTTGTATGCATGTTTTCAGGGCTGACCATATGGCACTGGACAACCAATTCCTGTGCTCCTCCCTGGAGAAGAGCACCTCTCCCGCACCCAGCTTTCCTTGGCTGCCTGGTTCTCCATGTAGGGCTTTTCTTTATGGGCTTTTCCTGTCCAGTATGGCAAGTTCATGTGTGTTGCCCTTGTTCAGCTCACAGCGGGGCAGTCATGTTGGTGAGAGTTAATGAGTATAGCTTCTGACGTTACTAGGAGACACAGACTCACATTAAGCTCTCTGATCCTCTGGCTCTTACAGTCTTGTACTTCCTCTTTCACAATGTTCCCTGAGCCTAAGCTATGGGACGTTGTGTAGATGTAGTCACTGAGACTGGGATTTCCAACTCTGCATTTTGATTAGTTGTGGTTTTATGTACTGGTCTCCATCTTTTGAAAAGAGATGTTTTCTTGATGAAGGGTAAAGACTTGAAGACTACAGTTCATCACTGAAAGAAGTCATGGCAGGAACTCATGCAAGAACCAGGAGCAGAAACTACAGCAGAGACTGTGAAGGCACACTGCCTTCTAGTTTACTTCCACAGCTTGCTCAGTGACCTACCCGGGTCCACCTACCCAAAGCTGGCATGCCCACAGGCTACAGCAGCTACTCAACTGAAGGTCACTGTTTCCCAGGTGTGTAAAGCTGACAGCTGAAGCTAACTATGACAATTGTTACATAGGCTTCTATTTCAAATTTCTAGTCTTGAATTTAAATTTAAAATTTAAATCCCAAGATGATTCTAGACTATAGCAAAATAGATGAGGAAGGTAGGTTACAAGTAAATTGTATACAGCATGTTCAGCTAAGTCTCAAATATTTTTCCACCTCTTTCTTTCCAAAATAATTATACTTAGTCAAGAAAGCTTCAATTAGGATTTTCTTTATTTTTAATTTTAGCAAGACTCAAAAGAAAGAGAGAATCACAATAGATACCTTATAAATGCACAGCAAATAAAATCACTATTAGCAAAAGCAATTTCAAGCTTACTACTGAAAAATATAATTGTCATCTTTAACATCATAAACTCAGCTACATATACTGTCACTAACAATGTACTCTTTCTGACTCTCCTGCAAGTCTCAATACCTAGCAGGTACCACAAGATAGACCAAACCCCAAGATACCATTTAGATTTTTGGATTGTTCCTTTATAATATAATATGTATCAACCTGTGAAAGCTGGAAACAGTAGCAAAATTATTCAGAGTGATTATACTGTTTCATTACTACTGCATGAAAGCTGCAATTTGAGAGCTTACACGTCCTATTTTTTTGTGTTGAATTTCAAAGGCAGCAACAACAGTCCTGATACTGCTTTGTTCTTCCAGCAGAATTTATCCTGAAGACTATAAAGGTTCTGAC